GGGAGGAGGAGAAGGAGGAAGTCCTCGACGCGCCACCAGACGTGTAGGTAGGGTGGGCCAGGCGTTTCGCATGATATCCCCAGTACCGGTGGCGACTTTGAAGTCTGGCATTTCCAACAGATGCGTGGATTTATTGCGGATTATTTTCAAAATGTGATTGTCTCTTCAGCGCCGCGTGCAGTCGTTGTGGCAAGATGCCAGGAGTTGTAGGGATGAGCGTCGTATAGATTTCAACATGTGTCTCTCGCCGTGTACCGCGCACATTCGTTTTGAAGAGCTGCCATCTGTTACGCGGGTGGAGCGCGATTCATTTTGACAGTTGGCTTTCGCTTGTGATTTTCCATATTCAAGACCAGAAGTTGGCATTTGTGCAACCCTTACACGAATGGAGGGCGTTGTATTTTCAAAAGGGGCTCTCGTGTGACGCTTCTTCTCGTAGCGGGAAGACTTGCTGTAGGGACTTCTGAGGAGGGGACTTGGGATAGGAGCGTGCACCGTGCCATCGTTGCATCGTGGTTTTACTCGGGTCCTCCTACTCCACCCCCCTGCGTCTCCAGGGCTCCATCACTTCGGAGTCATCGGGATTCTTTCTTTCAACCACTTCTCCTCCTCCTCCTCCTCCTCCTCGACCTCCTCTTCCCTCGTCCCTCTTCCTCTTCCCTCTTCCCTCTTTCCTCTTCCTCCACTTCGGAGTCCCTGTTCCCTCTTCCCTCTTCCCTCCTCCTCCTCGACCTCCTTCTCCTTCTCCTTCTCCTTCTCCTTCTCCTTCTCCTTCTCCTTCTCCTTCTCCTTCTCCTTCTCCTTCTCCTTCTCCTTCTCCTTCTCCTTCTCCTGCTCCTCCTCCTTCTCCTTCACCTCCTTCTCCTCCTCCTCCTCCTCCTCCGCCACCGCCACCTCCACCTCCACCTCCACCTCCTTCACCTCCTTCTGCTTCTTTCTCCTCCTCCTCCTCCTCCTCCTCCTCCTCCTCCTCCTCTCCTCCTCCTCCTCCTCCTCCTCCTCCTCCTCCTCCTCCTCCTCCTCCTCCTCTCCCCCCTGCTGCTGCCACTTTGATTCTCCTTCGCCCTCCCCCTCTCTCCTTCTCACTCGCCGTGCCGTCCTCGCTCCCCTTCGTTCTCCCCCTCGCCCTTGCCTCTTCCTGCTCCTCCAGCGTCCTCCCCTGCCCTCCTTTCACCCTCCCCCTGCCTTTTGCCTTCCCGTTGCCTCGCTCTTCGCTCCTCGCTCCTCGCTCCTCGCTCACTGCTCCTCCATTCCTCCGCCAGATGCTGGTGGGGCAGCGCTGGCGGCGGCCGCCGCGGAGCCAGGCGCGTTGCAGGGGGCGGGCAGCCCGAGAGGTCCTCTGGTGCTGCCCCTGCCTCCCCCGCCCCCCCGGCCGGGAGAGGGAGGCTGATCAGTGCCGCTTCGGCCAAGAGGGCCCCGAGGGCCTTAAGAGAGCCCAAGAGGGCCCCAATAGGCTCCCCAGCGCGCCCGAAGAGGAGGAGGGGGAGGGGGAGGAGGAGGAGGAGGAGGAGGAGGAGGAGGAGGAGGAGGAGGACGAGGCCTGCGCAGGCTCAATTGGGGCCCAATTCCTGGTGGGTGCGCGTTCCCCCTCAGGCGGGTGTGGGCCGGGAGTGGGCCTGCGGAGGCTGGGGATCGGGTCGTTCTGGCCAGCCGTCCCCCGCCGGCTGTGCCGCCCCGTGGTCCCCCCTCCTGTCTTCCCCCTCCTTTCCCCTCCCCCATTCCCCCTCCTCCCTCCCGCCCCCTCACTGTTCCCTTTCATCCCCTTCCTCCCGCCCTCCCCCTCCTCTCCCTGCACCGCCCTCCCTCTCCCTCCCTTTGTTTTCCTCCCCTCTCCCTTCCCGTCGCCCTCGCCCTCCAACTTCCTTTCCCATTCTGGAACTACATCCTCTTCTTCCTCCTTCCTCATCTCCGTCCGCCATATCTTCCTCCAGTGTGCGCAGCTCCCCTTTTTATTTTGATTGCGCGCCGAACGATGGAGCGATTTTCTGGGATCGGATCCGCTATGACACCCGTTGGTGGATGGAGAAATTTGAGCGCAATAGGAGTGGGTGGGAGTGGTAGGATATCAGATTTGGCGTGAGGGCTCCTGGCTTGCCCTATACCTTCCTCTCTTCCCTATTCCCCTCCCTCTTCCCCATTCCCTTTCACCTCACTCCTGCCCCCTCCCCATTCCCGTTCGCCCATGTCTACCTCATCCCGCCTCCAGATTCAGCTTGGCCCTGACGATCGCGGTAGTAGTAGTAGCAGTAGTAGTAGCAGCAGTAGTAGTAGTAGTAGTAGTAGTAGTAGTAGAAGTAGTAGTAGTAGTAGTAGTAGTCACACTGGTGTGTGTCAGTAAGTGTGTAAAGTAATAGTAAGTCACTCTACGGGTGTGGTCGTTGTAGTATGTCTCTATGTGCGCTCGTATTGTATATAGTATAGAGTAGTAGCTTTCGCACAGGCTGGTGTTTCGGGGGACTTGCGGGCGTTTTTACCCGGTCGATCTCTTGTCGTTGATTGAGATAGTAGTAGTAGTAAAGTAGTACAGTAGTAAGCATCACATGTCCCTGGAGTGTGGTGGTATGGTATTGGTAGTGTAGTTGTGTGATCATACTTGCAGTATTAGTATACTGTTAGTGCATGAAGGGCCGCTGATGAGACAGAGGTAGAATAGTAGTTCGATCGACGGGGAGGGGGGGGGGCTGATAGGTTGTGTGCTCGATAGTAGTGGTGCGTAATGTATGTGTGGAAAGTACCAGTATTAGGAGTGGTGGGTGTGTAACTGGCGTAGTGTGTGGAAAGGATGCCCATTCCTACTCTGCTGAATGATGTTTTCGGCGCACCTTCTAGTTTTCGGCGTATAGTCGTATTAGTGTAGTAGTAGTATTAGTCTCGTAGTAGTAAGTCGTAGTTTGTCGTAGTAGTTCGTAAGTAGTCCGTAGTAGTCGTAGTAGTAGTAAGTAGTAAGTATAGTAAAAGTAGTAGCAGTATCCGTAGTAGTAGTATGTAGCGTAGGAGTAGTAGTAGTAGTGTAGTAGTAGTAAGTAGTAAGGGTGGTCGTATAAGTTAGTAGTAGTAGTAGTAGTTCGTAGTCGTAGTAAGTAGTAGTAGTAGTAGTAGTAGTAGTTAGTAGCAGTAGCAGCAGCAGCACCAGCAGCAGCAGTAGTAGTAGTAGTACAGCAGTAGTAGTCGTGTCGTAGTCGTAAGTCGTAGTCGTAGTCTAATGTCGTAAGTAGTAGTAGTAGCAGTAGTAGCGGTAGTAGTAGTAGTAGTAGTAGTAGTAGTAGTAGTAGTAGTAGTAGTAGTAGTAGTAGTAGTAGTATCGGTATGATTGGTAGTAGTCGTAGTATCGTAGTAGTAGTAGCAGTAGTAGTCGTAGTAGTAGTAGTAGTAGTAGTAGTAGTAGTAGTAGTAGTAGTAGTAGTAGTAGTAGTCGTAGTAGTCGTAATAGTCGTAGTAGTCGTAGTAGTCGTAGTAGTCGTAGTAGTAGTAGTAGTAGTAGTAGTAGTAGTAGTAGTAGTATTAGTAAGTATTAGTATTCGTCGCGTCGTCGTCTGTCGTCGTCGTCAGGGGGGGAGGGGGGGGGGGGTCGTCGTCGTCGTCGTAGTTAGTCGTAACAGCAGCACAGCAGGCAGTATAGTAGTATAGTCTAGTAGTATAGTAGTAGTAGTAGTAGTAGTATCGTAGTAGTAGTAGTATAGTAGTAGTAGTCGTAGTAGTAGTAGTAGTAGTAGTAGTAGTAGTAGTAGTTAGTAGTAGTAGTAGTAGTAGTAGTAGTAGTAGTAGTAGTAGTAGTAGTAGTAGTACAGTAGTAGTAGTCGTAGTAGTAGTAGTAGTAGTAGTAGTAGTAGTCGTAGTAGTAGTAGTAGTAGTAGTAGTAGTAGTAGTAGTAGTAGTAGGAGTAGTGGTAGTGGTAGTGGTAGTGGTAGTGGTAGTGGTAGTGGTGGTGGTGGTGGTGGTGGTGGTGGTAGTAGTAGTAGTAGTAGTAGTAGTGGTAGTCGTAGTAGTAGTAGTAGTAGTAGTAGTAGTCGTCGTAGTAGTAGTGACGATGGTAATAGTGGTAGTTGTAGTGTTAGTGTTGATCGCAGTTACGTGTATGTTTGCAGTAGCAGTGGCGGTACTGATTTCATGCGAGCTTGTGGATCCCAAACACGTTACTCGTCTAACAATGTGTGTGTGTGTGGATTTTTACTAGTGTGTATGCGGCCCAATGTTTGTTGTTCTTCTTGATGTTGTTGTGCTTGTACATGTTTTGTTTGTTTGCTTGTGCGTGTGTGTGTGCCTGCGTGAAGCCCTATGTGTGCAACCTTTCGTGCGTTGTGCTGTGTACGTGTGAGCGTGTGTGTGGGTGTGTGAGCCCGTAGCTTGCACTTCCAATTGCTTGCGCCTCGGCACGCACATGCAGACTTACAGAAGCCTGAGTATGCCTCCCTCGCCTTCCCGGCTTCCCTGGCCGTCCCGCGCCCCGCACGTCCCCTCTCCCTCTGTGCCTGTTGTGCTCTGGCGCGTTCCGCCGCTGCTCGACCGGCGTCTTCTCTTCTTGCGCCCGCGGATCGAGAACATGTGAGCCCGTAGCCTTTGGCCCGAGCGCGGCCGCTTCCGAGAGGCCCCCCCGCGCGCGTGGAGGGCGTCTCGATGCCCTTGCGCACCGCACGCTTTCCGGGTCGCCTGGCGCACCGCCTGGTGGCTGCTGCCTCGCGCTTGCCGCCGCCGAGGGTCGCCGCAGGCAGATGGAGCCCACTGGGGAAGATGCGCGCGCTTTGGGTCTGACGGCCAGCGCGACTGGTGCCGCAGAGGCCGTCCACCCCTGGCGTCTGCCGTCGGAGTTCCAGCTGGGCCTCGCCTCCTTCCCGGTGGCGGCCAGACCGCGCTCGCACAGCGCTGGGGAGGACGCGGCGAGGCTCCTCGACCGGTTCGGGGCGCTGACTCGGCTGCGGCACCCGCACCTGGGCCGGTACATGGACGCCTTGTTCGGCCGCGACCACGTCATCTTTGTCGTGTCGGAGCACGCTTCAGTCAGCATGGCGGACGTGCTGCGCGCCAATCCGCAAGGACTGGGCGAGTCCACCACGCAGCGCGCGGCCAGGCAGTTGACGGACGCGCTCTGCCACCTGAACGGGCACGGCCTGGTGCACGGCCACCTGGAGTCGGGGCAGGTGCTGGTGGGCGAGGAGGGATGCTTGAAGCTGGCCGGCCACGGGCTCAGCCACCTGGTCTGGCACGGCTGCTGGGCGGATTTCCCTCTCAGGCCTCACGGCGCCTACATGCCCCCTGAGCTGGCGCACGGCCCTGGCAGATGGGAGGGCTCTGCCCAGCGGCTCTGCTGCAAGGTTGACGTGTGGAGCCTCGGCGTGCTCCTCCTCGAGACAGCGCATGGGCCTTGGAGGCCTGACGTGGTCGTGGCTCCGTCCGGAGTGCCAGGTAGTCATGCTCTCTTGGACGATACCGCATCGGTCCACGCCCTGGTCATCTTCGAGACTGCCTGCGCCATCCGCCGGTTCGCCGACTCGGCGCCCGCCGCCCACAGCTCCCTGTCGGCCGCGGCACTCCTCGGCGGCAGCGCCGCTGCAGCAGAGGCGGGGTCGCTGACCGATGGCGACGCCCTGCCGCTGCCCTACGAGTTGCCGCCGAACGGGAGCCTGCGGCTCCGCGCCCTCGAAGAGTCGTACCGCCAGTGGCTGAGCGCACGGTCGTCGCCGCTGGGGGGCCAGGACCTGCGCGACTTGTGGGCCGTCTGCCTCGCCGCCCACCCCGCCGCACGTCCGGCTCCGACAGACCTGGCGTCGCACCCAGGACTGGCCGTGGCGGAGGAGGAGGAGGCGGGCGGCGTCGAGCCCCTCGGGGCTGGCGGCCTTCGCTGGACCACAGGCACGGCCTTGCAATCGGAGCGGATGCCGCAGAAGCCGCCCGCCGGCCTCGAGGAGGCCTCCGGCCTGGCCCGCACGCCGCTGCAGTACTTGCGCTCCGCGGGTATGGGCATGGACCACATCTTCTACTGGTGGAGCCTGGCGGGCGGCGACTGCTTCCGCGAGCTGGCCGGGGCAGGACTCTTGCGCCCTGCGCCGCCGGCCCTGCAGCTGCCGCTGTACGTCCGGGACGCGGGCGCCGACGACGAGCGCGGGACGGCGGCCCCGTTCTTGGCCTCGGCGGTGTCCTCGGCCGAGTCCGACCCGCTGGTGAAGGGCCTGCAGCCGGCAGTGCCTCTGGACACATCCCCTGTCAGGCACGGCGCCGGCGCCGCGTGGGCGGGCGCGCCGCAGCGCGACCTGGAGGAGGACGGGCCGCCGCCTTCCGGCCTCCGGGGCTTCTGGGGGCCCGCGGGTACGGAGCGGCCGCGCCTGCACGGGGTGGACCTCCGGCGCCTCTGCGGCGCGGTGGCGTTGGCGGAGAAGCAGTCCGCGCGGCTCCATGAGCTGCGCCCGTCGTCGCTGTACGACCGCCAGAACCACTTCGTGTACCAGTGGCTGCGGGCGCGCCAGTTCAGGCGCCTGCTGCTCCTGCTTCCAAAGAGCCGGCTGGAGCTGTTCCAGGAGGCCACGGAGGACGTCCCCCCGCTGCTCAGGGGCAAGGTCTGGGCGGCCCTCCTGGGCACGGACAGCGACTCGGACCGCTGTTGCTGGGGACCTTTCTACGAGGGGCTCCTGGCCTCCCAGTCGCGCGCAAGCGAGGACGATCGGCAGCTGGCGGTGCAGTCGACGGTGGCGAACGAGCTGCTGAGCCATGCTGACGGCAGGCGCAGGCTTGACAGGCTGGTGTATGCCGCGATGAGCGCGAACCCGTCGTTGACGCGCGTGGATGGCCTTGGGGCGCTGGCGGCGCCCCTGGCCGTGTTGCACCCGGGAAACGAGCCAGCTGCCTTCGTCTGCATGCAGCAGCTCCTCCACGGCTTCCTGTGGCACCTCTACGCGCAGGACGCCGGCCTGCACCGGCACCAGTGCATGTACCTCTACAGCTCGCTGCTCGGCTTTGCGGACCCGCAGCTGGCCCTGCACCTGCAGGCGATCGGCATGCAGCCAGACGTGTATGCCGTGGAGTGGTTTCCCACGTGGTTTGCGCAGCTTTTCCCGCTGAGCCAGACTCAGCTCCTGTGGGACGGAATATCGAAGACGCTTACGGCGAGACCTGCCACGGTGCCAGCGCAGCAGCGCAGCGTGCAGGAGGTTGAGTTAAAGACCCGCTGCTATTCAGCGCACGGTCTGAATTCGGGTGGGTCTTACACTCGATCTCGTTCCCTCGGTTCCTGGGGGCCACTGAGGGGCCTCTCGGGAGCCTCCTGGAGGGCCTCTTTGAGATCTCTTGGGGCCTCTTGCGGGCCTCTTGGGCCATAGTAGGGCTTTCTTGCCCCGTCTGACGTCTTTGGAGACCATCTTGTGGGCCTCTCTGCGCCGTCTTGGGGTCCAGTGGGGCACTTCCGGGACCGTCGAGTCATGGAGGTCTCTTGGGCCGTCTTGGGGCTGGCCCTCTTGGGGCCTCCTTGAGGGCCTCTTCGGCGGCCCTGGGAGCTTCTTGGGCCGTCTGGGAGGCCTCTGGAACCGTCTTGGATTGTCGGAAACCCGAAAAGTGGGGAGCACGAGAAACAATGAAAAGATATGGGCATCAATACCTTTGGCTTCTTTCTTCGGTCCGTCAGCGGGCTTCTTGAAGCCCTCTCTTGGGCTGTATCGGGGGCCTCTTGGGTTGTCTCGTGGCCCGTTTGATGCCTTAGGAGACCGGCTTAGGGAGCCTCTCTGGGCTGTCTTGGGCCGTCTCGGGCCCCCCCCCTCAGCTTTTAGCCTTACAATTTTGGTTTGTTCGGGCCCCCCTGGAGGGCCTCCTCGAGCCCCTTGGGATGTATCGGGGGCCTCCTGGGTCGTCGTGGGGCAGTCTGGGGCTGTCTTCGAGACATCTTGGACCAACTTTGATACATCTTGAGGCCATCTCGGATCATCTTAGTTGTCTTGGCGCCGTCTGGAGGCCAAACGGAGCGCCGAACAGCTTCCCCTGGGGGGTGATTTTATCGATGACGCCTACGGCGAATCACCGCCGCCCCCTTCCTTTCAGGGCACGCCTATGTGGTCAAACTTTTGGGCAACGTTCGGCCACGCAATAGGACCATGCGCTCCCCCAGCCGTTGTGGAAGCCCTTCGGGGAACACGTGGGGGAGGAAGAGGCGGATGAGGAAAGGCAGGAGGAAGCAGGATGAGGAGAAGGATGAGGAGACCTCTTGGGAGGTTCTTGGGTCATTTGGGGGACCTCCTGGGAGCTTCCTGGGAGCCTCTTGGAGACTTCTTGGTGACCTTCTGGTGGGGGCTTCTTGGGGGCCTCTTTGGCCGTCTTATGGCGTTCCTGGCCCGTCTGACGCCGTCGGAAGCCGTCTTGGGAGCCTCCCTGGGCCTTCCTTGCTTGGGCTTGCCTTGGGGCGCTTCAGGGTCGTCTTGAAGGCCGTCTTGGGCGTCTTGGAGGCCTCTTGCGCCGTCTTGGGGCCCTCGTGGGGACTTCTTGGGAGCCTCTTGGACCGTCACGGGGCCATCTTGGAGGCCTTTTGGGTGCTCTGTGGGCGATCTTGGGGACCTCTTGGGCCGTCTTGGGCCGTCCGAAGGCCGAACAGAAGAAAATGCCAGCATCTGTCAAAACTTACGGAGCATGAACGATTTTAGCCTCTTCGAATTTTCCTGGAGAACCTCTTGGAGTCTGATGGAGGCCTCTTGGGGGCCTCTTGGGGCGTCTTGGGTGCATCTTGGGGCTGTCTTGGGTGCATCTTGGGGCGTCTTGGGTGCATAATGGGGCCATCTTGGGTTCTCTTGGGGCCGTCTTGGCCGCTTTCTAGGCGTCTTGGAGGCATCTGGGAGGCCATCTTGGCTGTTTTGGAGGCGATGGGGCCCACGGAGTTGGGTTTTGCTGTGGCTTGTGCAGCCTTTCGGGTGGACGGGGGGTCTCTGGGGCCGTCTCGTAGCCCTCGTGGGGGCCTCTTGGGCCGTCTTGTGCCATCGTGGGGCCATTTGGGGTCGTTTGGGTGGCCTTCTGGCCCGTCTGCCGCCGTCGGAAGCCGTCTTGGGAGCCTCTCTGGGCTGACTTAGGGTCCTCTTGGAGTGCTCCAGGGCCGTCTTGGAGGCTATCTTGGGCGTTTAGGCGGCCTCTTGGGCCGTCTTGGGGCCCTCTTGGGGCCGTTTGAGGGTCTCTTGGGCCGTTCTGGGATCATATTGGAAGGCCTCGTGGGCGATCTTGGGGCGACCTTTGGGGGCTCTTGGGTCGCCTCGGGCCGTCGGAAGAAGGCCGAACATAAGCAAATTCCAGAATCTTCGAACAACCAATGGAGAATCAATGATTTTGGCCTGTTCTGGCCTTCCTGGAGGCCCTCGTGGAGGCCTCTTGGGCCGTCTTGGAGACCTCTTGGGGGGCCTCTTGGGCTGTCTTATGCCATCTCGGAGCCATTTTGGGCCGTTTTGGTGGCCTTCTGGCCCGTCTGCCGCCGTCGGAAGCCGTCTTGGGAGCCTCTCTGGGCCGACTTGGGGCCTTCTTGGAGTGCTCCAGGGCCGTCTTGGAGGCTATCTTTGGCGTTTAGGCGGCCTCTTGGGCCGTCTTGGGGCCTTCTTGGGGCAGTCTTGGGGGCCTCGTGGGCCGTTTTGGAGGCATCTTTGAGGCCTCTTCTTGCGAGATCTTGGGGCGATTTTTGGGGGTCGCAGGCCGTCGGAGGAGCGAAGAGAAGGAACTGCCAGAATCCTTCAAGCACCTTTTTGGAAAAACAGTGATCTTGGCCGCTTCGGGCCTTCCTGGAGGGCCTCTTGGGGGCCTCTGGGGCCGTCTTCGAGGCCTCGCGGGGGCATCTTGGGCCGTGTTGGGCCATCTTGAGGCCATCTTGGGGCCATCTTGGAGGCATTTTGGGTCGCCTTGGAAGCATCTTGGGGCTTAGCCGTCTTGGAAACCATCCTAGACATGTTGGAGGCCACCTTGGGCCATCTTCTTGGCGGTCTTGGAAGCCATCTTGAGCCGTCATGGGACGATTTTTCTGGGAATTGCGCGCCTTCCGCGTGGCCGGTGGGACGAGCCGACGCCCCAGGGAGGAGTTCTTTTCGAAAAAGGGCCCAAACCAAATCAGTAGGATCTAGCACGCCAGGCACCCCTGTGGCAAGACTACAGAGGGCGGCTGATCGAAGACACTTTCGGCCCATCCCGCCACCGTGCATGGATTGTGGATCAGTGGCCTTTTGGATGCTTGTTAGGATCTCTTGGGAAGCCTCGTGGGGGTCTCTTGCAGGCAGCTTTGAAGCCTCTTGGGACCTCATGGGGGCCGTGTGGGGGCCTCTCTTGGGTTTTTTTCTGGGCCTGTTGGGCGTCTCTTGGGGACTCTTGGGGCTTTTTGGGGGGTTTGCTTGCGATCTCCCTTTGGGCGGAGGGCTCAACATCTGAGCTCGAGTTCGCCATCTTGGGCCCATCTTGGAGTTCTTAGGGCCTTAGGGGCCCTCTTGGGGCCCTCTTGGTCCGTCTTGGGCGCCTCTGGTGCCGTCTCGGGGCCCTCTTGTTGAGCCGCCTTGGGGCCCTTTGAGGGGCCTCTTAGGCCGTCTTGGAGCGATCTTGGGGGCTTCCTGGGCCGTCTTGGACGCTGTGAAATCTTTAGAGGCGATTGCGTCGGACAAACATGCACATATACATATACCTACGCATATGCATAGGTATATGTATTTGTGCATGTAAATGTTTATACATATGATTATGTACATGTGTGTATGTATATGTGTATGTTTATGCGTGTGCATGTATATGCATAGATGTACTTATTCGCATATGTACATGTAGGGTTCCATTATTGTGTATGTATACACGCATGTACATGTTCACGAGTGTGCACATTGTAGCTGTAGAGTGTGTCTACGTAAATGTGTATGTACGTGTATATGTATGTATATATGTGTATGTATGTATGTTTAGATGTATATGCATGAACATGTATATGTATGTGTGTATATGCATGTGCATGTGTACACGTATATTTATATGTAAGTGTACATATTTATGCATATGTCGATGTATGCGTATATGTATAGGTATGTGCATATGCATCTGTTGATGTATACGTAATTGTGTACGCATATGCATACGCATATGTACATGTACATGTGTATGTCGATGTCTTTCTTTGTATATGTATATATAACTGTAATTGTATACATGTATGTATACATATGTGTATGTATATGTATATGCATATGTATGTATATACATGCGTATGTATGTGTAAATATATGTATGTGTGTCGGTATATGTATATGTATGTGCATATGTATAGGTATATGTATCTGTATATGCATATATATATATATGTATACATATATATATATATGTGTACATGTCCATGCATATGTGTATGTACATGTATATGTATGTAGCGATGAATACATGCATGGGTATGTGTATGTGTATGTGTATATGTATGTGTCTGTGTATGTGTAAGTGTATGTGTATGTGTATGTGTATGTATGTGTATGTGTATGTGTAGGTGTAGGTGTATGTGTATGTGTATGTGTATGTATAAGTGTATGTGTATGTGTATGTGTATGTGTAGGTGTAGGTGTATGTGTATGTGATGATGTATGCATGTATGTATGTATGTATGTATGTATGTATGCATGCATGCATGCATGCATGCATGCATGCATGTATGTATGTATGTATGTATGTATGTATGTATCGTATAGATATCAAGTACGCCCCCCCGGGAGCGTCCCACCGTTAGAACATCTAGGGCCAGCTCCCAGTACCGCGCCCCAGGGCGTTCCAGGGAACCCCCAAAACGCTCCAGGAAAAGCCCCCGGAACGCGAGAGGACGGCCCAAGACGCTCCCAAGCAGTCCAATAAAGCCTTCCGACGGCTCTCCAGGCTCCCAGGAGACCTCCAAGAGGCCCCAACAGAGCTCCGACAGGCGTCCCGGGAACGCCCGAAGTGGCCAACATCGTTGATATTCAATGTTCTTTTGAAGTGTGAAGCCTTCTCTCGTTTTCGAGCTTCCATCGCTCCAGGACGGCCGAAAGGCCCCCCAAACCGCCCCAAGAGCCCCCAAGACAGCTCCAAGAGGGGCCAAGAAGGCCCCAAGACGGCCCAGGAGCGCCCCGAGGCAGCCTTAGAGAGCAAGATGGCCCGAAAAGCCGACCTACAGGAGGAATGCAAATCGACAATCGAAGAGGCCCCCAAGAGTCCTTCCCAACAGCCCCCCAGCGACCTCCAATTCAAACTTCCTCCCAAGAGCCCCCTGCACGCCCCTCAGGCCTCCCCGACTCCTGCGCACTACATGTCAGGAGGCTCCACTTGAAAAACAGGAATTCCAGTGATTCTCTTTTTGTTCAAGTTCATTTCGAGCCCCATCAAGGCTTCGTGGTCACATTGCAAATGTTGTTCGGGAATGCTGTTGAGCTCTCTGACGCTGTCTTGGCACTCTCTTGGGTCGTCTTCGTATTCTCTTGGCTGCCCTTAAAACCGCAGTGAAAATCGAGATCCCAGGAGTTCACCTGTCCAGCCTGGCTAGAAGCGCCAAGAAAGAGACGCAAGAGGGGACCTCCCAAAGCCTTACGAGCTCTTTGCCCCAAGGTGACCCCAAGGTTCTCCCAGAGGTTCCCGAGGCGCCCCCCAGATGCCTGCGGAGACTCCCAGGAGGCTCCCAGGAGGCACCAGGAGCCCCCGAAGAGGTCCCGAAAGACTTCAAAAACGCCGCCAAAGAGGCCCCGAGGGCCCTCCCAACAGACCGTGGCCTGTACCCCAGAGACTTCTGTCCCACAACCCAGTCATGGCAATTTTTTTAAAAAGGGGATTCCAAGTTCTTCTTTCGTCTTCCAAATTTACCCCCTGCTTATCTTTGCACAACAGGCCATAACTAAGGCCCCCGTCACCACCGACGAAAGATCACAGGAAACCTTGGAGGACCCCATATCATCGAATACGTCAAGGAAATTGATGGCTTTGTGGTTTCTGCATTTCCCCTTCTATACGCTTCCGAGGCTTCCGCAGGGACTCCAAGCTGATCGTGGATGGACAAGGGACTTCAACATGTGATATTCCATGCGTTAGCCTGTCGAACCTAGCTAGACCTTGAGCGCGCGCGAAGCGCGCGATGGTCCTAGCACATATATGTATGTATGTACGTATGTATACATGCATACATGCATGTAGGTATATATGCATGTATGGATGAATACATGTATGTGTATATATATGTGTGTTTATATGTATGTATTTATGTGTATGTATGTATGTATGTATGTATGTATGTATGTATGTATGTATGTATGTATGTATGTATGTATGTATGTATGTATGTATGTATGTATGTATGTATGTATGTATGTATGTATGTACGTAGGTACGCATGCATGCATGCATGGATGCATGCATGCACGTATGTAGGCATGTAATCATGTATGCATGCATGCATGCATACATGTATATACATGTATGTATGTACATGTACATACAGGTGTGTTTCTCTCTGTCTATATATACACATAGATTTGTATATGTGTATATATGTGTGTTGTCCGACCGGATGCTCTCGTGGCCTCATTGACGCGTCTTGTGGGCCCCTTGGGCGGTCTTGGGGCCACACGGGGCCGTCTTGAGGCTGCCTTAGGCCTCTCCGGGGCCCTCTTTGGCCATCCGAGGCGGGTCTTGCGGCGCCTCTCGAGTGTCCGGGAGGTCGTCCTAGGCCCGCCCGAGGAGCCCTCCCGAAGCCCCCAGGAGCTCCCACGAGCTCCCAGGATATCCCAGGAGCGCTTTGGAAACTGGGGGTCCGGGCCTTGAGTAGGGGGCCGCATGCGAACCCTCCCCCTGCCCCCCCACGAGTTTCGAGGGGGGTAGGGGTAGGGTTCGCGTGTGGCCCCCTATTGAGAAGCTTAGAACCCTTCTATCTCTCAAGGCTGCAGGGCTGCGTGAGCCTCGAGGGGACCACTCTGGCTTTAGAAGAACATCGAGGATACCTGACCAGACAGCAGAGGAACAGTCGAACACGCATCAACTTGCACAAGGCACGGTTGCGGATTATTGAGACCGCCGCAGTTTCCCATATTTGTTGCTGTCTGTTTAATGCACTTGTTCCGGAAGTCGCTGCTCAGCATGGACGAGGTGTCCCACGCCTCTGGTTTCGTGGCCAGCTGCGTGCAGCTAGTGGACATCCCGCTGCTGCTGAAGGCCTCCCTGGCGCTCTTCCAGGCTGTGCCAGCCTCTGTCACGCTCCCGCTCTACCCACGCCATTCTGCGGGCGAGGCGCTCCTGAGTCGACCAGGCTCGGCAGCGATCGTACCAGTGGACCCCGCTTGGAAGGTTGGCGACGCCCAGTGCGAGGCGACGGAGGGCGCCGGCGTGGACGGAGACCTCGCTACCACTCGCGGTCAGCTGGAGCAGCGCGCAACGGGGCAGTGGAGGCAGTGCGAGTGGTGGCGCAGGCGCGCCGCGTCCATGCTGACGCCGCCGGTGATCACGGTCGATGACCTCCTCAGCTTCCGCAGCAGCTGCACCGTGGTGGACGCCCGGCCGTACGAGGAGTTCCTGGCGGGCCACTTCCAGGCCAGCCACCACGTGCGCGAGCCGGAGGACGGCGACCTGACCTCCATCCTGCCCGCGGACGTGCTCGCCGCGGGCAGCGCCCCCGCGGGCAGGCCCGAGGCGGCGGTGCTGGCGCCGCCCGCGGCGCCGGCGGACGCCGAGGACGGCGCGGACGCCGCGCCGCCCTGGCTCTTCCGCTTCGACCGTGGGGCGCAGGGGGCCCCGGAGCTGCGGCTGCGCTTCGTGGTGGTGGTGGGCGGCCGCGACGACTTCGGGTCCGGCTTCGCCGAGCGGCTTCTGTGCGCCGGGGTGCGGCACGTGGTGTGCCTCCTCGGCGGCGCGGCCTCGCTGCGGGCCGACGCGCCGCGGTACCTCGTGTCTGGCCCAGAGTGAGGCAGGGGAGCCCCCCCCCCCCCCCGAAAAAAGAATAATAATAATAATATTAATAAAAATAATACTAACAAGAAGAATAACACACTACTACTACTACTACTACTACTACTACTACTACTACTACTACTACTACTACTACTACTACTACTACTACTACTACTACTACTACTACTACTACTACTACTACTACTACTACTACTACTACTACTACTACTACTACTACTACTACTACTACTACTACTACTACTACTACTACTACTACTACTACTACTACTACTACTACTACTACTACTACTACTACTACTACTACTACTACTACTACTACTACTACTACTACTACTACTACTACTACTAGTAGTAATAATACTATAATAATACTACTAAGAATAATAAGCATAATGATGATACTAGTACTAATAATAATCATAATATTAGTAGTAATAATAATAGAAATAATAATAATAACATCAGTAATAACAATAATCATAATATCAAGCTTGGCTGCCCCCCAAACAGAAGCGCCTGCTGGGTAATTAGCCGCCTCTCCCCTCGATGCGACTGGCATGCTGCTGCCTGGCCTCTTCGCGCCTGGCCCGTTCTCTGATCCCACCAGGCCCCCTTTTCCGCGGGGTCGCCTTTGGACCTTCTCTACGCTTCCTTTGTCCTCACCATGCTCTACATGGTCTGGCCACCTCTGGCCCACCCTATGCGCTCTGCCCACCACCCACCGGGCGCTCATGCCATTGCACGTGCACGGATGTCTCCTCATCCTGCCCATATGTCGCCGCTTCTGATCCTCGTTGTCGGTCTTCCTGCCATCTTGGGATCATCCTTCCGTGGGCCATCCAGGAGTCTTTGAGCGCCTCTGGTGTCATCTTGGGCCACCTTTCGGTTATCTCTGGCGATATTTTTGTTATCGTAGACAGGATCATTGGGACCATCTTGGGTATCATTGGAGCTGTCTTGGGATTTCTGGGGACGTTTTGAAGCCATTTTGGAACATCTTGAGAGCCACAGTGTTTTTATTGTCAGTGGCGGTAAGTATACACTGTCATACTCGCTGACAAGCACAATGGAGGGGAGCAACATAGGCGACAAACAGAACACATCGAACAACAACTATCGCCTTTCAATGCTTTTTTCCCCCTCGGAGCGTCTCATGGTCTCCTTAATTTGGGCCGTCTGGGGGCCGCCTTGGGACCATCTTGGGCCGTCTCGGGCGCTCGGGGTCCTCTTCGGGCCGTCTTGGTGCGCACCTGAAGGCCTCTTGGGCCCTCTTGGCCGCCCAGTGGCGTCCCTTTGGGAGTCCTGGGGTCGCCCACAGCTGTCTGGACGCTGAATCCTCCCCCCCTCCCCTAAACAGTTACACAAAATGAATACTACTCTCATCTCTCCCCTGGTGACGTCCAGGAAATGTTCGGCCCTCCTCCGCGTTTTTTTTTTTTTTTTTTTTTTTTTTTTTTTTTTTTTTTTTTTTTTTTTTTTTTTTTTTTTTTTTTTTTTTTTTTTTTTTTTTTTTTTTTTTTTTTTTTTTTTTTTTCTTCCTTTTTTTTGGGCAAAAAAAGAACAAACATTACTACTATAAAAATAATATATATATACTATTTTATTGTTGTTGTTGTTGTGTTGTGTATTATATATGTATGTATGTATGTATGTATGTATGTATGTATGTATGTATGTATGTATGCATGCATGCATGCATGCATGCATGCATGCATGCATGCATGCATGCATGTATGTATGTATGTATGTATGTATGTATATATATATATTATATATATATAGAAATGCTGCTCTCGCTGAAGCGCTGACCTTATTTTAGGCTACCGCTCGTTCCGAATCGTGCTCCCGCTGCGGCGCTGGCCTCATTTCCGCGCTTCCGCTCGTTCCGAATCGTCCTCCCGCTGCAGCGCTGGCGTCATTATTTCTAGCATCATGTCACGGCAGGGTTTTCGGTCCTCGATCAACACCATGCTATGCCATGTAATGCTACGCTCTGCTGCGACAACCGACTGTGCGAATGGAGATGAAATCGACGCCATGATAAGGGGGGGGGGGGGGGGTAGGATGTCATCTATGACGCGAGCGCACCTAGCTTGGCCCCCCTTCCCCTCCCTCCCCCCTGTAGTTGTTTTGGCGCAGTGCTGCCTCCCTCCGAGCTGACATCCGAAATCGACAGGGCTGGAGATACACTTTCGATCTGGTAAGGACCAGACGAGAAAACTAATGAAAACAAGAGGCACCAGCCAGACATCAGTCCAGCAAGGGGCTTGCCGCCTCGCCCCTCGGGGCCAGAGCATCTGTTCTCGGGAAGAAGATCGCGCGAAGAGTTTCCTCGCGGATAGCTCGCGTTTCACTATATGTAGCGGCAGCCGACACGAAGTGCTTGTTTCTGGCACAAGCTTTGCAGTTTCCCTCAAACAGTGTTTGCACGTAGGCTAGGGGGCCACATGCGAACCCTACCCCTACCCCCCACGATTTTTGAGGGGGAGGGTGGGGTTCCCTTCGCTCGGGAGCTCTCGAACGGAGTGAACCCCACCCTCCCCCTCAGAAGCCGTGGGGGGCAGGGGAGCAGGGTTCGCATGTGGCCCCCTGGCAGGGGCCCTCGCTTCTGGACCCGGAGCTGGGCCCGTCTGGCCGTCCGGCGGCTCCGTGGCCGCCTCTTCGCCGCCCCGTCGCCGGGCGCCTCTGTGCCGCCCGCCGTGGGGGCCTGTCTGGCGGTCTGGCCTCCAAGACGGCCGGGACGGCCCCAAGGAACATGGAGAGGGCGCGCACAGGAGGTCAGAGGCCAGCAACATATGTACACGTACGCGGTTAGCTTCCGCTGGAGTGAGTTTGAAAGCGGAGGTTCGTACACGCAAGACCGCGGAGGTCGTACATGTACATACGTCGTTGCTCGCCCAGGAGGAGCACACATCAGTATCTTCCCTCTCCTTCGTCTCTTTTCCCGACTGCGGCGCGGGGCGCCGCAGCCTGGTGGCCCGTTTTGGTACGCACGGAGGTCTTCTCTCGGGGGCATGGCCACTGTCGGCACAATGCGCGCGACGGGGGAAACAAAAAAGAGGGCCAGGATGGCCCTCAAGTTCGCCAAAGCTGGTTTCCCAGAGCCCAAGAACGTCCAGGATGCCTCCAGATTTGCCGAAGAAGCTTCCAAGACGGCCCAAGGTGGCTTCAAAATGGCGGAGGATTGGGGGCCTCCAAGACGGCCCAAGAGGCATCCAAGAGGGCCTCCAGGAAGGCCCGAAGAGGCCAACATAATTGATTTCAGAGGCCAACATAATTGACTTTCCTGTGGTTTTGAAGGAATTTGGCATTTGTTTCTTTTCGGCCTTCCGACGGCCCGAGACGGCCCAAGAGCCCCAAAAGATCGCCCCAATATCGCCCAAGAGGCCTCCAAGGTGGCCCCCAAACGGCTCAAGAGGCCCCGAAGACGGCCCCAAGAGGGCCCCACGACGGCCCTCGAGGCCTCCAAGACGCCCAAGTTGGCCTCCAAGACGGCCTTGGAGCACCCCAAGAGGGCTCCAAGTCGGCTTGGAGAGGCCCCCTAAGACAGCTCCCGACGGCGTCAGACGGGCCAACAACGCCCTAAGACGGGCAAAGGGGCCCTCGAGAAGCTCCCAAATGCTTTGAGGAAGCCGAAGGAGACCCCCAAGATGCTTCCAAGAGACTCCCAGGAAGCTCCCAGGAGGCCCCAAGAGTGCCCCCAGAGGCTCCCAAGATGCCCCCTCCTCCTCCTCCTCCTCCTCCTCCTCCTCCTCCTCCTCCTCCTCCTCCTCCTCCTCCTCGTCCTCCTCCTGCTCCTCCTCCTGATCTTCCCCACCATCCTCCCCCAAGGTCCGATAGCTTGGCAGAGCTCTCAGATCGCTCGGCTACATGGGCAATTCCACGAGGCATGGGGCGGCGGCGATTCGCCGTAGGCGTCTTCGGTACGTACACGTAAGCACCTGTGAAGTAAGCGTTCACCAGGTAGATTTACCAGCGATTGTACTTTACCCTTCCTGCTGCTGTTCCCCCTTCCTCCTCCTCGTCCTCCTCCGTCCTCCGTCCTCCTCTCCCTGGGTGCGTTTTCGTATTCCCTTGTATTCTTCGCATCAGATCTTGCGTTGACTCAGTGTTGTTGTACTCGCTGAATCTACTTCGTTTTCAGGGCAAAGGCCCCTGGGCCATTAAGAGCCACTAGCTTCGTGACACGGACTGAGCCACTGACCTTGCACCCTGATTATGATGCTAACGGAAGGCCGAACGACAGCGATAAATAATATACCATAATGGCGTAGCCCACGGTGCAAAGTATGAGCGGCCGGCGTAAGATACCACACAAGTGGGTAAATCCCCGACAGTACCAATGCTGACGATGATGATGGTGGTGATGATGACTTCGAGGTCGCCTTGACTTCGGCTCTGCCTCCGAGACTCTGCATAACGCTGGCGAACGATGACGACGGCGACCCGAGAGGGAGGCAGGTCGCAACAGAAAGGCAGCCTTCTGGCAGCAGGCCCAGCAAGAAGCGGGGCCGCGGGTCGCCCCCCCTCCCCGGCCGCCTGCCGCCAGGCTCGGCCCCGGCGCAGCCGGCGGCGGCTTCCGCGCCGACCAGCGGCAGCATCTACAGGCCGCCGCAGCTGCCTGGCCCGCCCGGCTACCCGCCGCCGGGGATGCCCGGGCGCTAGCCGGCCCGGTCGGGTGAGGGGGGGGGGGCGGTCGATCGCGGCCCAGGGAGGCGCCGCCGCCTGGGAGGCCCTGCCGAATTCATTCCTGCTCTGCCGCCGCCGTCCCTCCGCAGCCTCTTCCCTTTCGCGGTTCCCTTCTCTCTCGTTGTTCATCAAGAGGTTCGCAGTTCTCGCGTGTGCCGCTCAGCGAGATCTGTGGGGGCTTCGTTTCTCTCCCGACGGGTGCTGGGTGCTGGGAGAGAAGGGGAACTGTGTGATCATGATCTGGTAGGAAAAGAGAGAGAGAGAGAGAGAGAGAGAGAGAGAGAGAGAAAGAGAGGGAGGGAGAG